TATGTTTTAGGGCCAGACAAAAGGTAGCGTCGTGAAACGGAGTATATGTTTAGGGCATGTTCGGTTGTCCAGGATCCATGGCCTGGAACAATTCCCAACTAGAATGATTGAGCAATTTGTATGACAATGCATCAGCTGGATTCGTTCCTTCCGGCTGGAATAATTGAGCAATTTGTATAACAATACATCAGCTGGATTGGTTTCTGCCTCTATTCCTGAATAACCGAACGGCCCTTTAATCTTTTTCAACTAATAAGAAACTGCATTAATCTTGTTGGAAAACCGGGTTTCTAGCAGGAGGAACACAGAAAGCCTCCGTCCAGCCAGGTGCCCTGGGCGAAGGTATGGAAAATGGAAGATGGGCTCGGGCTTGATTAGGGTTTCATAAATATATTCACCAACCTCCAACCTCCTTTACACAGGGTGTGGCTCTCCCTTTTATAGGACACTGTATGCCACCTTATACAATTACACTTGTGCCCCCTGACAATTCAAGCATATACCTATGAATATTCCTATCTAGTTATCATCTTCCAGGGGCAAGACTGGGCTCCCCTTCCTTGCACCGCCTTCACCTCATGGGCCGCTGCTGCTGGCCCACGGGAGGCCCATTTCCGGTCCGACGTGTCAGCACCGCGCAGGCTTCCTGGCCGCTAGCGGAGGCTTTCTGGCGTACGCGGCCTCCGTCTTCGCCTGGATCACCAGAGCCTTCGCTTTTAGCCATTCCCTGAGGCCTCTGCCGCCATCTCCTGGGCCTTCGCCCCATCGCGGGTCCCACGTGAAGGCTCCGCCCGGCATCCCTGCACAACATCGTACAAGTGTTCTAACGCAATTAGTTTGTATATTGGTGTCCCAACAAATGTGGAGGAATCCATTCTATAACTGTTGTCGACTTGCGGAAGCTATGCTGTTCCAAGTCCATTTACGTGCGTCAGGTTCTTGACTCCATGGACGCCGATCGTACCTGTGATTGTTGTCCGGTCACAGTCTTGACGGGTTCTAAAACGCTGTTAATAAGCGCACAACCTCTGACGTCTCCATCTACTGTGATGGACATTTTTTAGCACTGTATTTAATTTTGTCGTTGCGCATGCAGAGACTGCGGAGATGTTCATGTCATCGCGTCGTTCTCTGCCTTCATCATCAGCCTTAACCTACTACTAAATTTCCCCAAAATTTATCATACTTTGTTTATGCCCTTCTAGAAAAGCTTCATCGTATATGCTATATATACGCCCATATGTAATTTACACTGTTGCTGACGCACTGAGATATATCCCATCAGCGATTGACCGCCCTTGTGTGTGTTATGCCTTGCCACCTTGTCGTCAACGCCAAAACGTAGGGCAATGTTCGAATAGTCACTGAGAAAAAGGAGCATGCATCTAGGTTTCCTTTGAACACAAGAATTTCGTAAAAATCATATAGAAGTTTTATAAGAACCGGTTTTATTTTAACATGAAAAAATCCACTGCTATTTCGCCATTTGTTTACGACTATTGACACGCGCTTCTACTTTTAAGCCGACTAGGCGACGAGAGGTTTTCAACTGACGGAAAAGTGAGGAGACGGGCTTTTCTATAAAAAAAAAAGAAAAAAAGGTACGTAGGAGGAAATGACACAAGTCACAGAAGCTTAAGCGGTCTAAAGTTTACTGCCTGAACTTTGGAACATGTAAGATCAAATAGGACGTAAGTAACTAAACCCCGTCACCAAAGGTGGTGTTGGCAGCAGCTTATTAGCTGATGGAGCTGTGATATAATGAGCAGGCTTTCCGTTAAAAAAAATATCATGAGCAGGCCAACCACCCCCAGCTGCCGATCAGCCGACGGAGCCACGAGCTACCTTACCTAATGGCACGGCGCTGCACTCCCTCCTATCTGTGTGGTTTGTGGCGAGCTTGTGCTCTGCACGGTGCCTTGGCTGGCCTTCTCTTCTGTAAACATCTTTACAGCTAGGCAGGCTGTACGTGGGAGAGGGAGAGGTGGGAGTTGGTGACCCGCATTGACACGCCTCCGCGCCGTGCCCCCCGTGCCTGCGTGATTCAAGGACGCCAACAGTAACGTAATCCATCGAATCAATCGTCAATATATTTTCAAAGAGAAGGGGTTGTTCCTAACACGTGCTACCAACCTTTTGGGCAATACAGGAGTTTATTAAAGGTCTATTTGCATCCCAACAAGTCTATAACTAGTTAGCTGATAAAAATTAGCTGATGATCTATTTAAATCCTCAGCTAATAATAAGCTCAGCTCATGTCTTACCTATCATCTAGCTAACAATTAGCTATTAGCTAATTTCTCCTAACTAATAGATACAACTAATAGTTGGTTAGCTGTACCGACGGATCCAAACATGGTCTAAGTTGTTAATAGCATGATATCTCTAGTATTTCATCACAAAAAAAAAAACTTTCCCCGCTGCTTCCAAATCGTAGTTAGGAGTCCATTAGGGTTAGGACGTTGGTATGGCCTTTAACCCTCTAATACAAGTATATATATTAGCAAACATGTCCTTGTGAAGGATACGCAATTTGTTGCCATTGCTTTTGCCAATAATAATGAGCTGGCCATTTTCGTTTAATTTTGTCATTAGGTTTGGTCAAACCTTAAATCAAATGAATTACAAAGCACATATTAAATGCTACTATTATAAATGATTGATTCTGAATGTCAAATTAACAGGAGATTGACTCAACTTAAATAGGTAGCTATTGTGCGTACCTGTTGTGACTTGTGAGTTTAAGAAAAGTAGCGAGCCACATGTCCATGCGTGCGTCGTAGCACGAACGGACCAGGAGGCGAGGCCAATGGATGAGTGGTGCAATGTCAGTGAAGATTTTGCAGCCTCAAACTCAAAGTGAGAAGAGACTAAAACATATAGAAGAGTCGCGAGTGACGGATGGAAGATAAATGTGTGAGTGACGGATGGACCGATAAACAAGAAGTGTTTGAGAGATGAAGAACGAGAAGTGTGTGAGATGGAAAGTGAGTGAGTGGCGGATGTACAGGCAACGGCACACCAAACCAGCCAGCAGTAATAATCCACGATCGTATACGATCGTTTTAGCCCCAACCGAACAGGCTGAGAAGGGTGCAAGAGACGGAAGAGAAGAGAAACATTTTAATACTATTATTAGATATGGATATAGGACTCATTTCACGAGAAATAGATGTGAAAATGTATTAGTATATTAAAGGCACCGGAGAGTCACACTAATTATAGAATCGGTGGAGTTGCTTTTTATCGTGTTTATTACTAAATTTTATTTACTTACAGAAGTGACTTTTTTTAAAAAAAAATAGCTACCGTGTTTGTTACCGGCATAATAAGGCTCCATTTAGCACAACTCCTCTATCAAACGGAGGAGCTGGTAGGATTTGTTTTTTGCAAAATGAGGCAAAAATAAATAGCTCTGTCTAAGGAGCTCCTTGTAATGTGCTCTCGTAAAAGATGGATGAGAGATGGAACTGAAAATTGTAGCTTCTCCTCTGTGTGAGATTCCATGAGAGCATATTTTAAAGACCTTCACACATAGAATTATTTTATCCAACATTCGCCGAAACAGCTTCACCAGTAAAGATACTCGTCGAGCTAAACACGAAAAAAATAGCTCCAGCTTCAACGATAGAGCTACTCGTGGAGCGAAAACAAAAAAAAAGCTTTACTAACAAGGTGAACCTTTGCCAAACGAAACCTAAAACAGCAGGCTGCATCGTTATAAGCCACAGTAACAACTAACAACACACTTTTTTTTTACGGAGATAAATCCCTGCTTTTTAAGAATGCAACAGAACGTGTTTACAACGAATCCACACACTTACGCTGGGATTACCAGCTTACAATATCGGCACACTGCCAAGCAGCAACCAACAAAACGAACACAAACGCCTACATAATAACTAAACAGAAACGCCGACACAGGAGACGTGCGGGCTCAGCTACGAAACGTCCTCCACGTCCAGGTGTTTAGTTAACTAATAATTCGCTTCGAGAAACCCGGCCTCTAACCAGCTTTTCACCATGGAAGACTTGCTGTCCAAGATCCTTCTGTCACCTTCCTTCAGCAGCGCACGCCGTCTCTGTTAACAAATTGAGATTTTTGTACATGATTTCATTAGAAGATTCCGGGAATCCCTTCTCTATGCCTATTCTCATCTTGTTTCTGTTATCCCATTTCCATAAACCTCAAGAAACAGTGGCAACAAGACACTATCAGCCATGTAGGCTGCCTTACCTACTCAATGGCACATCATTAGGCACATGATTATATAGTGCTACAACTTGGGTAAGTGATTCCGTAATTATCAGCATGTTCGCTTGTTGGTTTCAGTCAGGGCTTATCAGTCAGCCAACGATGTTTTTTTCTCGCAACAAATCAGCACCCACCGGACTTATCAGTCCAGAAACCAACCTACGAAGAAGAGGAGCTGAGACAAGTCTCCACAAACCAACCACGCATGACGCATGTGCGAGCAAGCAATTGGACCCGCACCGCACCGCACCCGGACCCGGACTCGGTCGCCCCCCATTTTTGCCTTCCAAGGGCCGGCCTGTCTTGGCGCGCAGCGCAGGCCATCCATGTACTAGTAGTATAAATAAATGTAAACTGTACAGCCAACCCCTTCCGTTCCGCCCTCTCCTTCCTCCCTGCTGTCTGCCGCCAGTGCTGCGTGCGAGCGGAGCGCATCAGCAGCACCAGATTCCGCGCCCCAATTCTCCGCCATTGGCTCGCCACCGCCGCGCCCTTGACTACCTCGCCTCACCTCATCCCTAATCTCCCTCCCGGGGTCATTGGGTCCTGACTCCTGACGGCGACATCCTACCACACACGCAGCCGCAGCGGAGAAACAGGGCAGGAGGAAGAGCGGAGGAGGGCCGCTCAAGCAAGCAAGCACGCACAGCAGCAGCTCCTCTGTCAGCAGCAAGAGGGGATCAGGGCGCTCCCCCTGTTCGGTTCGGTCACCTCTCGGGCGCCTGCAGCAGCAGGATCAAGCCCAATGGGGCCGTGCGCCGCCGCCGTGGTCGCTATTCTGCTCGTCGCCACCTGCGTCGCGGCGGCGCCACCGTTGCAGCAGCATCACAAGCCCGGCAGGATCTCAGGTACGTGCCCTCCTCTTGCTCTTTCATTCCGAATTCGTCCGCGGAATCGCAAAGCTCGCCGCCGGAACTCGTACCAGCCAGCCCATCTGTATCCCTGCCCCCTCCTAGAGATTCAGATTTGGCCGCGCGAGCTCCTCCCTACCGCAATGCCGGCGCGATCCGCGCCCGAATTGATCGCGCTCCCTGCCGGTGCCTTGCCTCGTGCCGCCGCCGCCCGACAGCTCATGGCCCCGCCCCGGGTCTCGATCCGGGTCTCCTGCTCGCTGCCGTTCCGCCTGGTCTGCACGCAGCTCGGGAATTGGAATTGGCAGCCTCTCCTTCTGGGATCGAGCAGCCGTGGTTGCTGTTTCTGTCTCTAACGGTAGCCGCGTGTGCGCGGCTCGCGCCCTGTGACCCACCGTGTGGCCGCTCTGCCTGGCACCAGCTGTACAGTAGTACTACACAGCTGTACGCCTGTACCTGCAAATCGTATAGCGAGTACAGTAGCCGCTATACTCTGTACGTACTCGGGTAGGAGTAAATGCTTCCGTCTCCGACTGCATCAAGCAATCCAGCATGCTTGTTGCTTTGCGGAAGAGATCGGTTGGTTGTTGGGTGAAGCGAAGTTTTGCAGAAGAGATCGATCGGTTGTTAGGTGAAGCCGAACAGTAGCTTTCCTTCATCCTACATTGCGTTGCATCATGCTTGCTCATTAAAAGTACGTAGTTGCTTGTAGTACGAGCAGCATGTAGTATTCCCCGATTATCAGTGTGCATCAAGGTTCAGATCTGTAGCACTGTACCATCTTCTTCCCAGCCACGCATCCATTCCAATGCCTGGATTGCAAGAGCTTTTGTTCTTTTTTTATATATATTTGAGGGCATTGCAATGCAAGAACTGGAACTGTTGTGATACAGCCATAAACAAAGGATAAGTGGCAGCTAGATTGAGCGAATGAGCGGTGGCCGTCCACTCGCTCAACTGAACTGACCACTAGCGCCTTCAAGCGGTTTTCTCTTCTTCTTTTTTCCCCTTGAAAACCGGACATGCTAACAACCAGATTTGTGTGTGCCGATAAAGAAAGCAGGGGATGAGAATAGCGTATATCATTAAAGTAGACACCACTTGAAAGGGATCGGTATTCTATTGATTAAAGTTCAAATTTTTTGTGGTTGGTGGACTGCCGAAAGCAACAACTCCACCAAGATTTGTTGTACTCAGCGGTACTCATGTCTTTTTATGCCCTAGTACTGGAGTGGTTACTAGTATAATCATATTCCACCTTTTATATATCCATTTTGAATCACTGCAGAGATCCCATCATTCTGCACATTTTAGGCGCATTGCATCGATGATAACAGCTATATGAATTCATTTATTTACTGTAGTACCCTTTGATCCGAAGAAGAATTCAATTCTAACGTAGAGCCAAGACAAACCATTTTGGTTTTGATCATTTAAAAAAAATGATAGTTTATATATCAAATAAATATAATTAGGTCCATCATAAGATATATTTTCATAGTATACTTATTTTATCTCGATTTCTGTAGTCTGTCTACCGAGTGCTCGAGTGTTGGAGCACTCAATTTTTTGTTTCACTGTTCTTCTTCCACCTCTTGACGTGCTATCGCCACCCACCGCCCCGCCGTGGAACGGTAGGGTCTCGCCGTAGCTCCGTGGCCGTGGCCGCGGCCGTGGACCTCCGCCAAGACCCTACTACGCCTGCAACAGTCTCCTCCTTCCCCTCCCCCTCCCGATGCCACTATGGCCATGGGTGTCCCCGCTCTGACCTCGTCCAGCCGCCGTAACCCTAACGCCGCCCTCTCGCTGTCCCCACCGCCTAGCCAGCCTGTCTCCCTCGAGCCCCTTCTAAGCCCGCCGGACTTGGAGAATAAGAGGGGGAGAGGCCAGATTTGAAGAAGAGATCGAATCTGAGTGTTGAGAGCTCGAGAAACACTTGAGTGCTGTAGAGCTTTCCTGTTTCTATAAGCTTGATCAGACTTTAGAGAAATTTTGATGACAAGGAATAAATGTAGAATTGCATTTTTTTTTCCTTGTGTGTGTGAGAGAAGAACAAACCTGCCCAAATTGATTTGCTTTCTCCTAATGTGAATGAATGAACAAACAAACCAACGATGCTTTGCCATGCCAGGGAACGCGGTGGGCGTGTTGGACGACGATCCCGTGGGGAAGCTGAAGGTGTTCGTGTACGAGATGCCGCGCAAGTACAACAAGATGCTGCTGGACAAGGACAGCCGGTGCCTGCACCACATGTTCGCGGCGGAGATTTTCATGCACCAGTTCCTGCTGTCGAGCGCGGTGCGGACGCTGGACCCTGAGGAGGCCGACTGGTTCTACACGCCCGTGTACACGACCTGCGACCTGACGCCGCAGGGTTTCCCGCTGCCGTTCCGTGCGCCGCGGATCATGCGGAGCGCCATCCGGTACGTGGCGACGACGTGGCCGTTCTGGAACCGGACGGACGGCGCCGACCACTTCTTCCTGACCCCGCACGACTTCGGCGCGTGCTTCCACTACCAGGAGGAGCGCGCCATGGAGCGTGGCATCCTGCCGCTGCTTCGTCGCGCGACGCTGGTGCAGACGTTCGGGCAGCGGAACCACGTGTGCCTGCAGGACGGGTCCATCACCGTGCCACCCTACGCCGACCCGCACAAGATGCAGGCGCACCTCATCAACCCGGGCACGCCGCGCTCCATCTTCGTCTACTTCCGTGGCCTCTTCTACGACATGGGCAACGACCCCGAGGGAGGGTACTACGCCAGGGGCGCGCGCGCGTCGGTGTGGGAGAACTTCAAGGACAACCCGCTGTTCGACATCTCAACGGAGCACCCGTCCACGTACTACGAGGACATGCAGCGCGCCATCTTCTGCCTGTGCCCGCTGGGGTGGGCGCCGTGGAGCCCCCGGCTGGTGGAGGCGGTGGTGTTCGGGTGCATCCCCGTCATCATCGCCGACGACATCGTGCTGCCCTTCGCGGACGCCATCCCATGGGAGGACATCAGCGTGTTCGTGGCGGAGCGCGACGTGCCGCGGCTCGACTCCATCCTCACCTCCATCCCGCTCGCTGACATACTCCGGAGGCAGCGCCTGCTGGCGCGGGACTCGGTGAAGCAGGCGCTGCTGTTCCACCAGCCCGTCAGGCCCGGGGACGCCTTCCACCAGGTGCTCAACGGGCTGGCGCGCAAGCTGCCGCACGGCGAGGGCGTGTTCCTCCAGCCCGGGGAGAAGGCGCTCGACTGGGATGCCGGACTCGAGAGCGACCTCAAACCGTGGTAGTGTGGACTTTGTGCAATCTGTTCATGTTCGTTGTTTCTTTTGTTCTCTTTGATTTGACATCGATGGATGGATGGATGGGTCTATCACGCATTAGTTTTTGTACCACGGACCGTTTCATGCAGCAGCAATATATAATATATAGAGGGTATATTCGTCGGGAGATGTGAGAAGCAGCAGCCCAGTGTTGGCTTTTTTTTCCGGCTGCTAAAGTTTAGTCAACTGAATGAGCGTCTGAACTTTAATCACCCTCTTTAGTTTGATGGACTAAAAGAGATCTTTTAGTTCGTTTTAATCAGGCTGTTTGGCTCCCAAGTGGGTAAAAGGTGAGGCAGCCTGATTAAAAGGTGGGATTTAGCCCTATTTAGTAACCTTTGAGTGATTAGCTGGCTAAAGTCTATTTAGTCTTATTTAGTGAAAATGTTTAGGTAAAGAGTGATTAAATAATATTAAATGGGACTTATTTAGGATGCGAAGAGTGAATAAAACACCCGGTCGCTGCAATACATGCCTAAAGTACATCGATGGTTCAAATCTGATGTGATTTTGTGTTTGCAATCTGAGCCGTGTTTGTGATTTTTTTTTTGTTTGATCTGGCTGTACTGCACTGTACAGTACATCCGTCAAAGCTGTTCGAAGGGAAGGCAATCGGAAGGTCAGCTCTGCAACTGACAGAAGATGTAAAAAAAAAGGATCTTTGCAAGCAAACCTGAACTCTGAACAGCAGAACCGCAGAAGACCCTGATCTGGATGTTCTTTCAGTTGTCAGTAGGGGCGTCGTCCACCAGTTGTTGGTATGCTCATGCTGGGCGGGTTGAGCCCAGCACGGCTGACCGGCAGACTGTCAATGCAATGCTGCAAAGGGTCAAGTACTCAAGTGGCTCTTGGGATGGGTCAAGTTTCAGGCAGCGCACCGATAGAGTGGCCTTCTACGAAGCCCAAGTACAGGGGGGGCATTTCTGCGTGAGCCCGTTGGATTTCGATGCAGCTTTCTTCAATTTCCCCCCTTCAGGGCCGTTTGCCGTTTGCTCCCGTTAAATTTCCACGATTCAACGGCATTGCAAGTATTGCTATGCAGTACAGTTTAAATTTAAATATAAATAATTCTAGATCTAATGATTAAACGTATGATGGATTACTCATACAAACATTAGGTGGTTTTAAAATGTATGGTCATATACTTGAGTTACTCCTATCTTCGAATGGTCGTATTTTTAGTATTTCCCACTTTCCCAGCACAAGAGAACCTAGGTCCAGTTTAGTTCCAGGAAATTTTGCCAAATTTTTCAGATTCTCCATCACATCGAATCTTTGGACGCATGCATGAAGCATTAAATATAAATAAAAAATAAAACTAATTACACAGTTTAGACGAAATTCATGAGACGAATCTTTTAAGCCTAATTAGACTATGATTGGATACTAATTATCAAATAACAACGAAAAATGCTAAAGTGTATTTTGCAAAAAAATTCGCCATGGCCCCTAGGCCTTGTTTAGATCATCTCTAAATTCCAAGTTTTTTCACTCTCTCTCTATCACATCAATTTTTGGACGCATGCATGGAGCATTAAATGTAGGTAAAAAAATAACTAATTACATAGTTTGGTTGTAAATCACGAGATGGATCTTTTGAGCCTAGTTAGTCCATGATCAGACAAAATTTGTTAAATATAAATGAAACGTGTTACAGTGTCCAGGTTGAAAAAAAAAATTGCAATCTAAACGAGTCCCTAGACGGTTTTTTGCATCGCGGATGCAGCCGGCTGCTGCCAGCCTGCCATCCTGTGCGCATCTCTCGGGCTGGCTGCGAGCCTGCGAGTCTGCGACTCGTCTGTGGAGCAGCCAGGGGGGCCATCAGGGTTGTTGGACTTTTCGTTGGTCCAAGGGCCGCCCCAAGTCCGCCATTTGCTTTTTGCTTGCGTCATGTTTGCCTTCACGTTACGATGCCATTGACCTGTAGCATGAATACGATAAACACCACGAACTTAAATGCAAACATACATCCCTTGGGCCTTGGGCACGAATTGAATTTCAAATACATACGCTAAATAAGCAAGATTGTACTGAGCTCCCTAGTGTTAAATTCTCTTTTAAATAGACACTTCCTAGTGCCATGACTTTCGCTTGATTATTATTTATTATTAGTACATTGTTCACCTGTGTTTCATAATAAATTCTTGTTTCATTGTTTGCCGGAGTATTTGTCAAACCTGATACACAATTAGTACAAAAACTGCTACTGTACTTTGTACATGTCACTTATGACATAATTTAGTGAAATATTAAAAACTACAAACATCAACAATTTTAAATTATCTAGTTTTAAAACATATAAATTATACAAATGCTTGCAAAAAAAATATAAGTGTGAAGTATTTTGTGAATATATATTCTACATAAAATCAATTATGAAAGATATGCATGGCTGCCTTGCAAAATTAGACGTGACAAGTGTTTTTGACAGACTATACTATGTCATAAAAGAGATGGACACATAAAATGCTAATATTGTGAAATGACATTAAAACTATGTCGAACTCTTAAACCAAGTCATGGCATAGTATATCCATCAAGGTCAAGCATGCTCGTGTGTGTGAAACGTCGAAAATATCTTGAACAACCCTACGCATCAATTACACCACCAACCCACTCCTCTTTCCCCCTTTGCAACCATTTTTATAGAAGAAAAGGATGGATGTTTCAGTTTTGCTAGATACATCCTATTTCTCCAAACATTGTCAAAAACCTGGATCGTCGCTTTCAGTCTGAGGAGGAAGAAGATGGCTTGTGGTGTACATCGGTTGCGTTTCATGGAACTCGTCGAATCTTAATTTCTTGTGTTGTTTCACATGTGAGGAGACGTGTGAACGACTGCTTGGCAGCTAAAGGTAATTGTTAGTTGTGGCAGAACCGTCCGAAATAGCACGCTTACGGAGGTGCTCGTCTCCCACCAGACACTAAGCACCCCAAAAACAAGCTACCGCGAGCGGTATCCGTCGGGCACACCCCAAGGGAGAACCCGAAAGATCCACATTTTTTCCAAGGATCCAATAATGAGAACGAGCTACAATACAGGTTAATTTCATACATAAGAGGTTCTTAAAAGGTACATTATTACATTACCAAATATCAGAGTGCAGAATGATAAACAACGGAATTTAAATAAACATCTAGCGATATGAGCGAGGATTCCGTCTGAGCCCACCAGAAGAATCCTCCACACAAGGGTACTTCTCATGCATCACCTGCAATAGGGGTAAATAAACCCTGAGTACACAATATACTCGCAAGACTTATCCGACTAGTGGAAATAATTTCCCGACACCAAGGAATATGATAAGCTTTATGGTTTGCTGGTTTCTTTTGACAGAAAACAATACTAATAGTGAATCATTATTTATGTTATTATTATCAGCCACTTTAAATTATCATCTAACTAGTCTATATAAGCACCTGTTCTACTTTTAAGCAAGAGTTGAGCAAGCAATTTCATTTCTTCTCCTTTCAACTTTCAGTTCTTACTACGGTGTTAAACACGAAGCAAGTCGTACCGACTCGGTGGCGATTCACGAACCAATGTGCCCAGTTGGGTGCTCCGAAAACACACGCCCCGCTTGTACCCCAGACACAAGCAGGACTAACCCATCACTCTCCTGTCCCGGGTGTCCAGGTCCCCATCCAAACATAGACTCCAAGCCCCCACTGCTGAGTCCCGGACTCAGTGCGGTGCAAGGACCTTCACCATCTCCGCCTCCCATCAGTCGGTCCGGAAAGAGCTGGATCCGTGACAAGAGAGCAACAAGTCTTCCCTGCGTCCATACCCAAGTATGTGCTCGGGACAATAGATCTGTGACTTACCCACGATGCCTTATGCAACGACCGGTCCTTAATCGACTCAGACAGGGAAAAAGTGTAACCGAGCTATGCCCTGTTGGCCGCAGGACACAACCCCTTACACCAATCAATATCCAAACCATATCCCTGCCCGGTCACCATTTACCTTTACCACATTTTACCAGGGGTGATCATTTTTATCACCTGCTTGTGAGCAACAGCAGGTTACTCACGCTACCGATATCTTGAGCATAGCGACTACTCGCCATGTACTAGTAGGACTCATAGGTAGATATATTTATGCATGTGGTTTTCATAAAATGCCTGTAACGTAAATGCACATCATATATATATTTAGTGATCATTTAAAATAAGGGATATGCACCGGGGCTTGCCTTGGGCAGGCGACAGGTCAGTAATGTCAGCACCAACAGGATCCGGGGCTCCCTCCTGCACGAGGATCTCTTCCTCATACTCCTCGATCACCTCGTCGTACTACGGTTCGTCGACGAGCATGAACTCAACCAACTCGTAATCTACATGCATGACATGATGATGTAATACTTAGTAATATAGCAACAGCAACTATTAAAACAAAAGTACATCTGTCTAACTACTAAGCTAGTGCTACCGACCACGGTACTAAGCTATCTTTTGTTACCGACAACAAGTTTGAGTATGACATTCATTATTATTATTGCAACTACAGGTTTACTTACTCCTAATGCTGATTTACGCTATATATGATAAACCAAGGATAATGACTACTCTATTTATCATCTTACTCTAGGGCTACAAAATTTACAGAAAGTACATAATAATCTAGTGAACCTACTGTAAAATTTTCATAGCCATATCTCTCACCAATCTACCACAAAAATTCCTACAATTATTAATCTACATAATACTAAGCTCTCTAGTTTGGATTTATGAGCCCATTACCATCACAGTTAACTGTACACTAACTACACTAACAGATAGATGGCATTTTTGTGAACCTAACAAACTTGGTTTCACTATTTTTGAGCATCTACAAGATTTACTACAATTTATCAAAGTTAAGCTAGAAACTATATTGACTAAACATTTACAATCTACTGGAAATTGAAAACGCAATTCACAGCGTGGCCCAACTCGCACGCAGCTCGGCCCAGCAAGGCAGGGCG